AGTAGGGGTGTCACCTTGGTGTCCTAGCCAAATTTCCCATAGGCCTTTAACCGTCATGGCTTCCTAATAATCCTGATCTAAGAATTTCCTTCATCACTATGTTCCCCTCCCCACCGATAGCTGGTGAGTGTACATGTGCACTATGGCTGCCGTCGCATCATCCAGGTGGATGCTGCACATTGGTGGTGGTGGAGGGGAGCCCCCATTACCTATAAAGCGCTTAGAGTGGAGTGTCCAGAAAAGTGCTTTATAAGTGTAAGCAATTAATTAAGTAATGTGACAGCCAAAACAGAACATATGTATCATTATCCCTCCTTGTGTTTTTTGTGAATCAGGGTTTGAATTGCTGATGATATGCGAGTTCTGGTTCATTTTAAATACCTTGGAAAGCAAAAAAAAATGTTTAATAAAAAGAGCACAGCCCTAAGAAAAAGTTTGTTGAGGAACAGGTTTCTACATAAATTGTGATGATTTGATTGTTTATACTGTATATCATGTATTGGCCACAACAGAAGTTACACCTCTCCATTTGATAATAGAAATAAGGAAGCAAATAAGTCTTAAATCTATTTTTTTTAAAACAAGGTATTATGAAATGAAATCATGAAGACAGCCAGAAACATTGATTTATATATATATATATTTTTAGTTTTCTTAAAATAACAGGGCTTATGAAACTAATTTGTAAGTGTGAGCAAATGAAAAATAAAATTAATCAGTTGTGCATTTTATAGGTGATGGCTTCACCCCAGGGGTGCAACATTATGCTGGAGATTGAGAGAACAAGAGAAAAATGTATCACTACAATGGAAACTGAAACCATCATTCAAGGTAAGGTCATACATAATGCATTTGAACAAATAGAGGTTAGTTCCTTGAAGGAAAGAGTATAATGCACAACATTTCAGTTATGGAGCCTTCTTCAGTTATGGATCCATCTACTGTATTTCTAGTTCACAGGATGAAAGAGCTCCTCACGTGTACCTCATACTGTATATATACTGTATCATTTCAAATTTCAAATATCTGTATAATGGAGAGAGATAGTAGTTGAAGGGTGCAAACTGAAGTGTATAAATTTGGGGTTTTAAAAAATAGTTGACTTTGTCATAAGAAACCTGCTAACTTATATCCTGCATTTAACCTTTATACTGTGTGTATGTCACTAATATTGTTTTGGAAAATTGTTGTTGCTTATAAAATACACACTGAGTTTTTATTCACTTGTATAATGGGGAAATGATCCAGGCAGTACTTGGCCAATGATCAATTTATTTTTTAGCATTCATTTGCACATTTGCACTAATTTTAATGTAACTGTTACCTCTACAACATGTTGCAGGATAATTTTTAGTTGTGTTTTTTCTAACTACTGGAAGGTGAATATCATTGATCAATTTGTTTTATCAACAGAGAAGTATTTTTTTGTTTTGTATGCCAGATTTTGTTAGAACATAAATGTTTATTGTTTTAAAATATTTATGGATCCCAGTACTATAAATATTGTATAGACAATCCAATAGATGTATTTAAAAAAAAAATTAGGAACTTGACACAGAAAAAGAAAACAACAGTCATTTTAATTAGTCATTGCCAATACATGCAGGTTCACTTAATGTTTTATATTTTAAGTATCTGAACAGTTACATTTTGCCAAAATTAACAAATGTATTTTCTATTTTTGTTTAAGGCTTTCATCACTGACCACTATTCAGTGGTATATTCTTAGCATATGCATTAGTTTTTGCTTACAACTTTCATCCTGTTTTTTAAAATATACATCAGCTACTTTTTACAACAATTTAACAGAAACAAGAAAATTATTAATTATGCATTAAATATTGTCTTTGTTACAAAGGCAAATATGCGAGCATGCATGCATGACACTCCCATTGTACTTCAATCAGCCACACAGTAATTCTGAGGCTGAATGTCTGAAAGTATATGCACTAAATAAAGGTGTAATATGTTAACTAGTTTATGTTTTCAGTGTGATTTAAACAGTATTATATCCAATCCCAAAACTTAATTCAAGTAGGAACACCCAGCTTTTTCTCTGCCCTTTTTTTCTGGTTTAAACTTTCAGTAAAATCTAGAACAAAATTGCTGTACATACAGTAGTTGATATTAGCCTTCATTCTCAGTGTGTTATTCACATATAATAGATTATTTTGTTGCATGGAAAAGGGAGTGTTTGTAGTTTTGTTCTCTATGACAACAGTGGAATTAGTGCATTAAGTGATTTTATCCTAACATAAGATACTATACATACTGAAACATCAAAATTTACCTATATATCTGAGGGGAGATGCACATCTATGATTACTTGAAATTTGTGTGCACTAAAACACACTCAAGCATGCTAATTAATATTTTATTATTAATTTATTAATTAGTCTAGGAGTTATATTTCAAGGCTGTGTTTTGTGGTTGTGTTGCTTCACACAATGAAAAAATAAATCTGACATGTATCCTTAGATATTTTATTTTAAAATGAAATAGTGAATATTAATTAATATAAAACACCATTCTCATTTCGGTACCAAAGAGGCAGGGTCAATACCAATCAGTACATCAGCAACCAAATGCAGGTAAATCAAATACAAAACACAGTTTTGCAGAAATCACAGTGATGATGAGATAGTAACCTTCCCTCCTAAGAAACACTAGCATGGCATCCCATCACAATAAATAATGTAACACAGGACTAAAATGATACTCAGATGTGGGTGAACACACTTAAAAGTTACATATCATTTACTTAGAACATGAAACACAGGTCAGTTGTAGTTAGTCAGCTGTAATTTTTAGAATGTAATTTTAGATTTACTGTATATTGCAATACATTTCTCAGTGGCAAGCATTTAAAATAATTTAATAGAAACTATTATTTCAGTAATAACCTTCTACTGCATATGAAACTTAACCTTCCAATCCAATGTTACCTTGTTACCTTTGGTACAGAAATAAATGTCTTAGTCCAGTGATTCTTAACCTGGGGCCATGGTCTTGCGCATCATGGTCTTGGGTGGGTCATGTGAATAGTATATTAAAATAAATAAAAAGTCATTAAACGCTCTAATAGTACAACTAAATTTCTGAAAGGTGCACCAGAAACCTACTACCTAGTGGCTATTTTAGTCACCCTACTGTCACAGTGAATGAGCCATTACTTCGTAAAGAGCTTAAAAATGGAGCAGTTGCTAACTGGAGCGAGTGTACAACTCAAACAGTGAAACAGTGAAAGCATAGAACTGCAGAGATAGACAAAGAAAAAAATGCAAAATGTAGGAAATTCAAGTATTTGGAATATGATTTCTCATGTGATAGAGGAATGGAACCTTGACCCGTTCTATATGGTAAAGTACTGTATGGCAAAGGAGAGTCTCAACCCATCAAAAATGCTACAACACCTACTGTACAAACCAGGCAAATCTCTGCAAAACAAAGTCACTATGTGTTTTTTCATAGGGGGTCATGCGCTTTTTCAGTCGTCCAAAGGAAGTTGCAGTTGCAAAAGAGTTAAGAACTGTTTTCTTAGTTTATAGGATTAGTAAATAAAGTTGCACAAACTTATTACTGGACTTTACTACACTATAGAAGATATGTTACTTTGGGTTTGTTACAGCTGAGAAGTTTTAGTACAGAGCAGGGGACTAATTTCACCAGCCAAGCTTTTTGCATTTGGTATTTACCTAGCATGCTAGCTTAGTAATGAACTGCTAACTAATCATGGGATCATCCTCCATATGCTGTTTTCAGTGCATTGCAGTTGACTTATTTACCGATAAGTTAATTAGCGTAAACCAGAAATTTACCAGCTTGTATGTTCAGCTACAACTGGCTAGAGTGGAACTCATTGTTTTAAAACACATCCCCAGCTATAACAGTATTCAGACCTACAAAATGAATAAAAAAGGAAATATTATCTTGAACACAAGACAAAGCCCCCAGACATCTTTCATCAAAGTGGAGATATGCTACGCTCATTGTACAGTGTATCAGTTGAATACACATGCAAAGCAAGCGGAGACAAAAAATTATCCTCGAAAGGTACAGCACACACAGTTCTATTCCATATGCACCTCACAGAGAAAGGAAGAACTATTGAACTATTGTATTCCACCCGGTCCAGGAATAACATGGAGGAACAGATGGATCGAAGTAGCCTTGTTTCTCTTGCATCCCACAGAGGACTGTCTTTCATTTTTTCAAGAAGAATGAGTTGGGTCCCACAGTTCATCATAGATATAAGCAATATGTGCCAGTCAACCAGTCAAGAACTGACAAATTTACAATGGTATGTACCCAGTATCATGCATATATTAACAAAATACAAAGAGCCCGTGATTTGTTTATATATTGATACAAACAACATGAGAGAATTTGCAATATGGACAAAAAGATTAGTGTCAGTGAATGCAATCACTTAAAATGATAGGATACACTTCCATAACAATACTGGAAAAATAAAATAGAATAGAAAAAATTCTTTCAGAACATTCTGTTGTTTGAAGATGACACTGTAGCCGCACACTAATACTGTTTCAATACCAAATGTTTCAGTGCGTCTGATGTTATTTTTTTTGTAAAGTTAGGAATTACCCTTGAAACTATCTGTGATAATGATAATATATATATATGGTCTTGTCTGATGTCATTAATATGTTGAATTGAATGTACAGAATTCTAGGTTTAAAAATATTGGGCCACAGGCCATTAGTGGTGAAGTGCAAAAAGTAAATTGAGAGCAATAGTGTCAATGTATGGTTTTATAGTATTTGGAGAGTCTAGTTTTTTTCACGGGGGGTGGGGTTTAAAAGGATGTTGAAAATTCTATGTATTCTATGTATTATTTTTTGTTCAATTGATTAACTTTCCTATATCCTACCTTCTGCTGTCACATTGTTGTCTTGTTGTTGTTTTATTTGCTCCAAATATTTGACTTCTTTCTTTTGTTAATTTGTGTTCATATTCTGAGTGCTCTAAATAGTTATGACTGTTTTTTGCCAACATACGTCAGAGTTCAGCCTGTCTATGCAATCACCACCAAACTACCAGAACAGATTCCAGCATATGCTAGCATTTTCCAGTTATAAAGGATGAATCATGTGTCTTGTTCTGTAAAACATTATACCACATTGTCCAAATATTGTCCTTCCCTCTCTAGAATTTGAAGACAGCTGCTGAAGAGACACAGTTTTATTTCCCAGACATGAAACAATTGTGCTACTGTAAAAGGACAATAACAGTGTCAAATAAATATCACAATTATACAGTACCTAAATACTCACCCATTTCCATTTTTTTAAATGAGGGTCAGATTTTCTTTGTTCTTTTAATGACATGCAAAAAGTATTTTCTAAGGGAAGAAAATGCCACTCCGTATCAATGGCATTTATGCAACAATATGAACATTTTGTATAGCACATAAAACATTAGCTTTATTTTATTGTTAAAACTAAAACTAACTGCACTAAAATAGCTTAATTATATCCACGCGACTCCATAAATATCCACATATTTACTAGGCAAATTCAGGTTAGTGAAAGAAAAGTCTTTTTTCCCTAGATATTGAAATAAAATTTCCATTTTTAATAATTTATTTAATGCATCCACTGCCATAGTGGCAGTAAGGACTAAAATTGATCAGGATGCTAAAGTTATCCTTCTGGTTCAGTAGGCTGTTTCAAGATTCTGACTTGAAGGGAGAGTCTCCAAGAGGTGAACTATTGTGGCAGCTCAACATAATCAAAACCAGTGATTCTACCAAGCCTGCTTAAATTCTTTCTTAAGCAGGGCCAGTAGACAGCTGAGATAGAGTAAGAAGT